GATATTCTAAATAAGTGTACTTTTTTACTTTTATGAAATATGAATTGAAAATGAGTTGAATTTAAAATGATGTGATAGAGAGATGAAGTTGCTCAAATAAAATAATGTAACTTAAATAGAATAGTAATTTTTTTAAATTTTTAATTTTTTTAAATTATGACAAATAAAGCTTAATTGGTGTACCACCGAAGTAAAACCCACCCCTTACCTTTTATCACCCCAATAATGCTAGGTATCATGAAAGAAGTATCATGAAAAGTCTTTATGAAGATTCTCCACCCTTGAATTAGTTTATAATGTTTGTAGTGTTTTATTGTATATTATGCAATCACCATTTGATTAGTTTCATGATATTTATTTCATGATGCGTAGCATTACTCTTATCAAGGGCTTTTCCCTGATTAAGCTAAAATACCAAGCTATTTCTCAAAATAGGCCTAGTTTTGACGGATTTCCCAAAATAAGCTGAAACGTGGTTAGAAACCGGGCTTTCACCGTTTTTGTATCACAATTGCAGAAAATTTGTAAAATCGTAAAAGCTTTTAATTAAGAAAGCGTGGTTACAAATCACGTTTTTAAGGAAATTTAATTTATAAATAAAGCGTTGTTTCTAACTACGCTTTTAAATAATATTTTTTTTCTCCAAAAAACGTGATTTCTAACCACGATTTCTTAATTAAGTTGTGTTGTAAAGAAAACGTGGTTTAAAACCAAGCTTTCAATAATAGACCAAACAATATCACGCACTCACAAACTCTCTCTCTCTCTCTCTCTCTCTCTAACACACACACACATCACTCACACTCACACTCACACTCACATCAAACATATATAACTTTTAATGTATATAAATTTTATTTTATAAAAATTGAAACCACTATTAAATATATATAATAATAATTTATAATAGCAAATAATAATCAACTATATAAAATGATTACTTATTTATTTTAATTCTTATTTTTATTTTTATTTTTTATTTTAAGGTTTAAGATTTAGGGTTTAATTCTTAATTTTTTTTTATTTCCTGTTTGGTAACCATTCTGTTTTCAGTTTATATTTACAAAAATTTTAAAAACTGTCATAAAAACTTGTTTGATAATTTTTTTTTTTGATTTATAAATAGTTGTCTCAGTTTATAAATTTGAGGAAAAAAGTAAACTCAAAAAATGAGTTTACGTTTTTAGTTTTCAATTTTTTTTGTTCAAATAATTTTTTTTTTCATTTTTTTTCAAATATTTTTTTTTCAAATATATATTTTTTTCAATTATTTTTTTTTCAATTAATTTTTTTGTCCAATTATTTTTTTAATTAATTTTTTTCCATTATAATATGTGTGATCCCATTGTCATAAATAATAAATATAAATATAAATATTTTAGGCTTGAACAAACATATTTTTTAATTTATGTTTTTTAATTTATTTAAAAATTTTCTTCAAACCAAACGCGTTTGTAATTTATGTTTTTCTAAAAATAAACAAAAATCAGTTTATAAAATTTTTGTAAACATAAACTAAAAACGTAAACGTTACCAAACGTTACCTTAGTGTTTAGGGATAAAATTTATTTTTATTTTATTTTAGGGTTTAGGGTTTAAGTCTTAAAATTTATTTATTTTTATTTTAAGGTTTAGGATTTATGTTTTAGAATTTATAGTTTAATTCTTAAAATTTATTTTTTTTAAAATCCTAAACCCTAAATCCTAAACCTAAAAATAAAAATAAATAAATTTTAAGAATTAGACCTTAAACCCTAAAATAAAAAATAAATAAATTTTATCCCTAAACACTAAAATAAAAAAAATTAAGAATTAAAATAAAAAAATAATCATTTTATATAGTTGATTATTATTTGCTATTATAAATTATTATTATATATATTTAATATTGGTTTCGATTTTATAAAATAAAATTTATATATATTAAAAATTATATATGTTTGATGTGAGTGTGAGTGGGTGTAAGTGATGTGTGCGTGTGTCAGAGAGAGAGAGAGAGTGTGTGTGAGTGCGTGATGTTTAAAGCGTGGTTTAACACAGTTTAATTAAGAAAGCGTGGTTAGAAACCACGTTTTTTGGAACAAAAAAAAAAAATAATTTAAAAACGTGGTTAGAAACAACGTTTTATTTAAAAATCAAATTTCCTTAAAAACATTATTTGTAACCACACTTTCTTAATTAAAAGTTTTTACGATTTTATAAATTTTCTGCGGTTGGATTATAAAAACGGTGAAAGTATGGTTTCTAACCACGTTTCAACTTATTTTGGGAAATTCGTGCTTGTTTTCATTTTTCAAAAAATAGTTTTCAGAAAATTCTATTTTCTTATTTTTCGTATTTTTTTTTGTTTTACTGAATTTTTTTAATATTTTAAGCAATTTTTTTACTTTTTAGACACACCTAACAAAAATATACTTAAAAAGTAAAAAAATTGTAAAAAAAATCTTTTAAAAATTCACTAAATACCAAAAATATAAAAAAAAATACAAGAATTCGCTAAAAACAAAAAACACGAAAAACAAAAAGCTCAATTTTTAAAAAATTTTATCCAAAAAATTCAAACTAAACACACTGATCGGTATTTTAACTTAGGGTTGGTTTGAGATGTTCTAAAGAAGTGCACTTTTTGACTTATTGGCTTATATAAGTTGGGTTTGGGTTGATGTAATGTGTTAGAGAGGTAATATGACTTAAATAAAATGATGTGACTTAAATAGGATAGTGACTTTTTGCTTTTTATATTATTTAGGCCTCGTTTGGGGAGTGACTATTTTAACCACAAAAAAAAAAGTTACTAAAAGTTGTCACATCACCTTTCTACTTTTTTTGCACATCTTTTTATAAAAAATTAAAAAATTATTAAAATAACTTGTTCTCAAACGAGGCCTTAGTATACCCCAAACCAAGCCTTAATTATGGGGCATTTCCCTAAATAAGCTAAAATAATAATCAATTCCTAAACTAAGCCTAGTTTTGAAAGAATTCCCAAAATAAGCTAACTCGCGGTTCACAATCGCGATTTCAACATATTTGCACTTATCTCGCGTGAAAGTTGGTAAATTTTAAATTCGTGGTTACAAAAAGCGCTTTTGATTAAGAAATCGCGGTTACAAAACGCGATTTTAATTGATTTTTTTTCTTCTGAACTCGCTGTTCTGAACCACGATTTTATCCAAAAAAAAATTTCTTCTGAACTTGCTGTTCCTAACCACGATTTTATGGAAAAAAAAAAAATTTCTTCTAAACTCGCTGTTTCGAATCACGCTTTTAGACCAAAAACTTTTTATGCTGAAATTGTGTTGTGAACCACGATTTCTAATCTGATTTGCCAAGACCAACTGATGCCTATAGTAAGTAAACACAGTTGGTCTAATAAAGTTATTTCATAAATAATAAAAAAATTCTAACAAATAAATTTCTAAAATAAAAAAAAAATAAAATTCTAAAAATTTACGCTACCTTAGTGTTTAGGATAAAATTTATTTTTTTTATTTTACTAAAATAAAAATAAATAAATTTTAAGAATTAAATCCTAAACCTTAATAATAAAAAAAAAATTATCCGTAAACACTAAGGTAGCGTTTGGTAACGTTTACGTTTTTTGTTTATATTTATGAAAAATTTTATAAACTAGTTTTTATTTATTTTTAGAAAAACATAAATTACAAACGAGGTTGGTTTGAACAAAATGTTTAAAAAAATTTTATAAAATAATTATTGAAAGAAAATAATTATTTGAAAATTTTATCCCTAAACAAATAATTGAAAGAAAATTTTATAAAATAATTATTGTTTAAAATTTTTTTATAAAATTTAATAGAAAAAAATAATTGAAAAACAAATTATTTGAAAAAAAATTAATTAAAAAAATTAAAAAAAAATTAATTGGGAAAAAAAATATTTGAAAAAAAAATTAATAGAAAAAAATAATTGAAAAAAAATTATTTGGTCTTAATTTCAAATAATTGAAAAAAAATAAGACCAAATAATTGAAATTAAGACCAAATAATTTTTTTCAATTAACTTTTGTTTCTATTAGTTTTTTTTTTTTCAATTAATCTTTTTTTTCAATTAAATTTTTTTGAAATATTTTTTTTCCCAATTAATTTTTTTTTCAAATAATTATTTTTTCAATATTTTAGGCTTGAACAAACATATTTTTTATTTTACGTTTTTAAAATTTTTTAAACATTTTAAAACTAAACGCATTTAAATTTTATAAATTTTTTTAAACATTTTGTTCAAACCAAACTCGTTTGTAATTTATGTTTTTCTAAAAATAAATAAAAACTAGTTTATAAAATTTTCATAAATATAAACAAAAAACGTAAACGTTACCAAACGCTACCTTAGTGTTTACGGATAAATTTTATTTTTTTTATTTTAAGGTTTAGGATTTAATTCTTAAAATTTATTTATTTTTATAAGGTAGCGTAAATTTTTAGAATTTTATTTTTATTTTTAGAAATTTATTTGTTAGAATTTTTTTATTATTTATGAAATAACTTTATTAGACCAACTGTGTTTACTTTACATTAGGCATCAGTTGGTCTTGGCAAATCAGTATTGAAATCGTGATTCACAATCACGATTTCAGTAGAAAAAATTTTTGGTCTAAAAGTGTGATTCGAAACAGCGAGTTTAGAAGAACTTTTTTTTTCCATAAAATCGTGGTTAGGAACAGCGAGTTCAGAAGAAATTTTTTTTTGGATAAAATCGTAATTCAGAACAGCGAGTTCAGAAGAAAAAAAAATTAATTAAAATCGCGTTTTATAACCGCGATTTCTTAATCAAAAGCGCTTTTTGTAACCACGAATTTAAAATTTACCAACTTTCATGTGAGATTGGTGCAAATATGTTGAAATCGCAATTGTGAACCACGAGTTAACTTATTTTAAGAATTCTTTCAAAACTAAGTTTAGTTTGAGAATTGATTTATTATTTTAACTTATTTAGAAAAATGCCCCTTAATTAGAGAAAAGCCCCCTCTTATCACCCCCATCCCCTCGACAAGCGTGCCTCCTATCTCTCTCGCTGTCTCTCTCATAATAGACACAATCAAATGATTGCGTAATACTATTGTACTCTCTCTCTTTCTCGAACTCTGACAATCTTCCCTGAGCAATACGGAGACCGATAGGACACCCAAGGTTAATCTGCCCCAAATTTCAATGGATTCCGCGGCTCAGCGACGTCTCAAAGCAATTCAAGCCCATCTCCTCCCCGACACCGACGATTCACTCTTCCAGATTCAAAGAAACGAGACCGGCTCTGAGTTCTCTCTTGGTACTCTCTCTCATTCTTCTTCATTTCTTCTATAGGGGGCTGTTTGTGTCTCTGGTTGTGGCTATGTTATACAATGATGGTGGATTTTGTGTGTATACCGTACAGAGAGCTACAGGCCTTGTTTGGTTTTATTTTTAGAAAAAATTTTGAAAAAAATTCTATACAAATAAATTTTTAAGAAAAATCGAATCAAATAAATTTTTTTAAAAAAAATCTCAAAAATTTACTTGATCACTCTTTCTTTCATTGACATTAAAATTATCTCCTCAAAACAAATTTTCAAAAACATTTATGAAAAAAAGGCAAACAAAATAATTTTTCGTACTTTTTATCTCAAAAACCCATCTATAAAAACACACCAAACAAGGCCATAATTTCTGGGGAAAACTACACATCAGTGCTGTCACATTTTTTTTACAAAAAAAGTGGAAAACATTATAAAATTAATAATTTAAATCATAATATTTTTCATCAATATGTAATAGTTTATCAAAATCTGTGCTGAATAGTAATTTCCCTTGATTTCTATTAATTGGGGGGTAGGTAGTTCAGCATATAATGGTGGTTTGATATGTAGTAGGGATATTCCGGGCTTTGTTTGATCTCGCTTGTCCTTTTTCTGAACTTTACCTGTTAAATGGTCCTCTCACTGTAGCTTCGTGCAACTCATTATCTGCTATATTCTTGGATTCAAACAATAAAATAATTCAACAACGGAAAATTGAAAAAAAAGAAGAAAAAAAAAGAGATTCATTTGTTTCATAAATTAAGTAGGTTCTAGATGAATTCCCCTGGAAAATTCTTTTTCTGGGTTGGATTTTTTTGGTAGTGTAATGGAAAATTTTATATTGAAACAACAATCCAGCTCCCGTTCTGCTGTCTTGGTTATAAGTCTATGATTAAATTGAGCATTCAATTTTTTTGTTTTAAAAAAAGCAGTATATCTATGCAATTTTAAATTTTAAAAAAAAAATTCTTTTTATGTTTTGGATAACTGGAGCTTTGCTGTATATCTAGCAAATTACAAATATGTTTTAGCAAATTCCTGCATCTAAAACTTTCGGGATTGGTGGATTTATGAGAACAGATTCCCTATGGAAACTGAAAGTAATCTCCCTTTGAAAGGCTGCTGCACTGTTACTAGAAGAGTAATGCTATACAAACAAACTTTTCTTACATATTTTGTTTTGCAAACATCAGTTTTGTAAAAAAAAGTTTGTTTGTATAGTATTTTCCTTACTAGAATAACCTTCTTTACCTTGATCAAAATATATTGGTTCTCTGCTACAAAATTTGACCTTGTTGCCTTTTTTCACATGTTGGGTTTTCTTGTTCCCATAAGACAAAGTTAAAATGTAGGACACAACAGTATATGTATAAATACATTCTTAGCCTTTCATTATGTAAATTAATCATAGTTAAAAGAGTAGCAATATACAGTTGTATAGGATGTAATGATTAAAATTTTGTTTCATTGTGTTGGTTGAGTTAGCTTGGAAACATATAAATATTTCGGAAATTGTTTGGAAACTAAGGAAATGATGACAAAAGGAAGAATATGGAAATGCTTGAAACATGAACTAAATCTATATAAATGTTTATACATGCTCAATAATTAAATAATTGAGCATGTTTGAGGTCTACACGTCTCTGTACATGAAGGGCACAAATAAATAATTTGGAAGTAAATTTAATGTGAACTAGGAATTAGGAATTGTTATATTAATGTCTTTGATGTCAATCTTATTAAACACATGTATACGAGGGTAAATGTGTGTAAGGCTTCAACGAAATAAAATTTACAAAATTATCTAAAACAATAATAATGATGATATCAATTAAAACAAAGGTAAAAGGATTTTCCAGGTGGGGGAGGTCTTTTGATTTTAGATTAGGAGATTAGAAGTGGCATTGTAGGTATTTTGAGGGTTTCTTTTTGTATTGTGGGAGCTGTAGACCTGGAGTAGGGGGCATGGATTTCAACCTAGGAAGCACCAACACGTCCCCAAAAGGCCACATATCAGTGTCCGACATGCGTTTGACACTCAGTGGACACATGTCCGACACTCAGTCTAGCATGTCCCTCTTTTTTTTTTTTTCCCATCTTAGACATGTCTTGGACACCTTCGAGACTAGAGAGAGAGAGAAAGGAGAAGAAGAAGAAGCTTGGTCCTTGAAATCGAAGCTTTCCACCTGTGATGAGAGGGCTGAAGCTTTGAAATCGACCCAACAACCACTATTCGAAGTCACAGCTGCAAGAGAGAGATGAAAGAGGGAAGACAACCAAGCTTTCCACCTGTGATGAGAGAGCCGAAGCTTCGAAGTCAACAAATCAAGCACTGATTGAAGTTGTAGCTGCAAGAGAGAGATGAAAGAGGGAAGATGACCAAGCTTTCCAGTTGCAATTTAGAGAATCGAAGTTTCCTGTTTCAACAAATATTTGATTTCTCTCTTTTTGTTGTTTGTATTCCGAAGAAAAGAAAAGGGTTTACAGCTCATTAAACCTTTCCACCTACTAGGCTAATAATGGTTCCACCTAAAAGTCAAATGGTGAAAACAACTAGCTTTTACTACTAGTAGGTTTGTAATGTTAAATTATTAATTTTTTCATAATTTGAAATAAAATGTTTATATATATGAGGTATATTGTATCGACTCATTGGAGATGCGAGTTCTACACTAAGTGCCTTGTAAGCGCATTAGTTTGTGAGCGGTAAGGCAAGCAAGTAGATCTTTATCGCATCACCTGGGTTAGTCCTTGGGCATAATGCACGGGGTACGTAGTACTATTTGTGGAGCTGGCTTCTCAAGAGGATGACAAGCGCTCAGTTTGTGACAAGTGGTAATAGAGCCAGCCTAGGGGCACTGTGATAAGGACAATATGTGGGACATACACCAAGCGCCTTCATTGTGGGGTCCGCATCAAGGGTGGTGTTCGCGCAGGGCAGGTTTTCCATGGGTAGGGAAACAGACAAGTATGTAGGCAGGCAGGGTAATGTCCCCCTGACGAGGACGTCAGGGATTGACAATGGTAGCATGTCACGTACCGACTCATTGGAGATGCGAGTTCAACACTAAACACCTTGCAAGTACATTAGTTTGTGAGCAATAAGGTAGGCAGGGTAGATCTCTATCGTATCACTTGGGTTGGTCCATGGGCATAATGTACGGGGTACGCAGTATTACTCGTGGAGTTGGCTTCGCAAGGATGACAAACGCCCAATCCATGACAATATATGTTGTATGATGCATTGGGAATGAATAATATTTAAATAGATTTTACTATGCATCTTTGGAAAAATACCAATTCCTTCCATAAACAAACAAGAAAAATAAGTTATTCACCCAAAAAAACAAGAAAAATAAGAGAGGTAATGGAGTGGTTGGAGTATTTTTCAAAAAGTGCACACTTAAATATTGTGCACTTTATAATATAATAATATATAAAATATTTAAAATGTATTATTTACATTAATATTTGTACAAACATTCAAAATAATACATTTTAGATATTTTATATATTATTATATTATAAAGTGCATGGTATTTAACTGTGCACTTTTTGAAAAGTGCTCAAACCACTCCGTTATCTCTCTTATTTTTCTTGTTTGTTTGTGTGCAATGGATAGTAAATTACTTTTCATTGTTTGATAAATTTGATACACCCACGTGGTGGTGGGTTGCCTTCATTTGGAAAAATATTGTGCCATGAATAGTAAATTACTATTCATTGTTTGAAAATTTGAGATAGGTTACTGGGCATAATTTGTTTACTGTGCAATGATTAGTAAATTACTATTTAGATTTCAAATAATGAATAGTATTTTACTATTCATTGCATAATATTTTTCCGAATCAAGATAACCCATCACCACGTGGGTGTATCAAATTTGTCAAACAATGAATAGTAATATACTATTAATTGCATAGTATTATAGTAAAATCTATTTAAATATTATTCATTCCAAATGCATCATACAACATATATTTTAATAGACAATATTTTGTGTTAAAGAATGTAAAATATGTGTATTAAAAATCATGATAAATCTAATGTATTTTAGACATCATAAAAATCAAACAATATAATTAACAATCTCTCCCTTTTTGATGAAGGCAATATATGCTTGAATTTGATACAAAGTTTCACATGAATAAATGCAACATAAAAATATATTATATTTATACATGAATTTGACACAAAACTTCAGGTGAATGAATGCAACATAAAAATATTCAACATCATAATACAGGCATTTTTTTGCATTATATTTTCTCCCCCTTTGTAACAAATTCTTTGTAAAAAATTCATATATAAATTATATTTCTTCTCCCCGTTTGACATTATCAAAATAAAAGATTGTTATACGAATAATTATTTATAGAGAATGAAAATTTTTAGAGCCCAAAACGAAAATCGTATAAACATATTTGATCAATTTTTTAGAGATATAGCAAATAATCTGATTTGAAAAAAATGTAATAGTATTTCTTATATTTCCCCTATGATCATTGTCTTGATTTGTTAGCGTCGGCGGTAAAAAAAAAATTGGGCAGCGACGCCTAAGATGTTGACTAACAAGAGATTTGAGCGGATATGCATTGATTATTATATCTGTGGTGTGTATAAAAAGTGACATAGATGATGTGTAGAGATACAAATCCTTCAAGTGTTCTTAGTAAAAAATAATTTGTTTACAATCTGTGTAATCATGTCATTCCTTACCTTTTCCATTAATGGTTCTGACTTAAATTAAATATGGTGCCTGAGATTCAGGTAAATGAAGGGTTTACAGCTCATTAAACTTTCTACTTACTAGGCTAGTAATGGTTCCACCTAGATGTCAATTGGTCAAAACAGCTAGCTTTTACAACTAGTAGGCTTGTAATGTTTAAATTTTTAATTAATGTTAAAATATTAAAATTTTCATAATTTGAAATAAAATATTTATATATATGAGGTATATTATATAAATAAATATATATACTTTTCTAACGTGTCCTTAACGTGTCGTGCTCGGCATTTTTTGAAAATTAACGTGTCAGCGTGTCCCTCCGTGCAGCATAGATTTCAACCATATGTTTGCCGAGGAGTGGATTTGGCTTGAATGCCCATTCTCGAAGGAGGAGATCATTATGGCCTTGAAGCCCTTGAATAGGGATAAACTCAGGCCTCAATGGGATGAGACTAACCTTTTTTGAACAACATTGGGAGGAGGTTAGAGAGCATGTGATTTTGTTTTGAGACTAGGACATTTGAAAAGAGCTTGAATGCATGTTTTGTGGCTTTGATCCCCAAAACTATGGGGAAGAGGATATGAAGGATTTCCAGCCTATTGCTTGGAGGGGTTTTCAAACTATTGGCTAAGGTGTTAGGTGGGCGTTTAAGGATCTGCTGCCTAGTTTAATTTCTGAGTCTTATAATGCTTGTGTTTGGGTATCAGATTTTAGATGCGGTGCCAGTGGCTAATGAAGATATGCCTTCTAGATTGAGGAGTGGGAGACCAGGGCTGATTTGCAAGTTTGCACTAAGAAAGCTTATTGTTTTTTTGTTGATAATTTTTTTATTTTTATTTTTTATAGGTTTTGATTAATGGCTCCTCTGTTGGTTTTTTTGATCTCTAAAGGTCTTTGTTAGGCTGATGTATATCCTATTTGATAATGTGATCTAAGTTGGTTATCTGGAGGGTTTTGAGGTGGGCACGCTACAAGGTTCTTTTCTTACAATGTTCAACTTGTATGCAGATGATGTTATCATATTTCTGTGGAGTTAATGGTTAGTAGATAGACTGTATCCGCCATGTGCTCCTTTGTTTTGAAGCAGTGTTGAGCTTGAAGGTGAACGCTGGCAAATCAACTTTGATTGCAGTTGGTGATGTGCCTAATATTGGATCTTAAGCATCCATATTGGCTTGTAAAGTCTAGTCACTGACTAATATGTATTTGGGTCTTCCTTTGAGATCTTCATTCAAGGATAAACATGTGTGAGACTACTATCGAATATTTTACAGACGTTTGGTGGGGTGGAGAAGACAAAACTTATCAAACGGAGGAAGGCTTAGTTTGATTACAGCATGCTGTGGAGTTTACCTACTATCTCGCTTTATTCTCTATTTCTGCTTCAGTGGCAAAAAGACTTAAAAAGATGGTGATATACTTTCTTTGGGTTACAATTTGTAGAGAGTGTAAATATCACTTGGTGAATCATTAAACAATTTGTGCTCCTATTAGAGAGGGAGGTTTGAAACTTTCAACCAGTTACCAGACCCTCTTGGGGGAATAGCTTTGAAAATATGCCTATGGGTGAGATAGATGTTGGAGTAGGGTAGTGAAGATGTAGTATTGGTGCTTGTGGTGGGATTAGTCATTATCATAGGTATCTATAACTGGGTATAATCTTCTACTTCTTTTTTGTCTTTTTTTTTGGGATTATCTTGGATAATTAGCTCTATGGTTCATGTTGATATGTCAGCATAAGGAACAGTTGAAGCAGTGGCGGCTTGGTAGGTCTAGTTAATGAATACATCCTGTCTGAGTTGGAGCATAGCTGTTGCAGATCTGTAGTTGTGTTGAGTTGGTATCTTGTTAGTTTTTCCTTGCAACTGAGTCTGCATAAGTGCATGGATTTCAGGATTCTTTTAGAAATAATGCTTCCAATCACTGCTTCTGTCATTTGCACACTTATGTTCCACCATAAAGCACACCATGTTAAGGAGTTACTTCTTGTTAATTAATGAATGCTGCTTTCTCACATTTACTTGTTGATAATCACTTTTGCTTTCATCATTCCTACTAGTTTGCCTGTTCATTGTAATCATCATTTCCCCCTACAGGTCAGACATACAGCGTAGTTCTTCCAGAAAAGTTGCAGACAGGAAAGTGGAATGTATACAGGTTGGCTACTTTCTGTTTCACTTGGGTGAATTGTTAGATAGCTTGGTGTATATTGTTGGGTATGTTAAGCTTTGGGGACAATTGGTAATTTTTCATGGTCTCCAGAGCCTTGGTTCTCGGAAGTCTGGAGGTTCAAGTCACATAATCTTTGTTTGTCCCCCTTTATGTATTATTGTGCACTATATGTGTTTATGCACCCTGTTCAGTTCAATTTTGTAGATTGCTTGATATACATTATTGGACTCATTCCTACTTAAGTATTTGGGACAATTGTTGATATGGCATGACTTAGTGTTTTCTAGTTTTCATTTTTTTGCAGATTTATTTTTGATAATGTACATTTAACTAAATCTTGGTATGACTATCACCTGACTAATTATTTCATGGCAGATCTGCTCATTCTCCATTGAAGCTTGTCGATCGATACCCCAATCATCCTGAAATTGGCACATTGCACGATAACTTTGTGTAAGAACTTCCTTGCACTCTCTCTTTCTGCTACATATAGCCATTCATTTTGTCATCATGCTGATTAAAAACCTGCTGGTTGAAGTACCTTTCCCGATCATTTGGGAAGACATAATTTTGTATTACAATTTTGTTTATTCAGACATGCAGTTGAAACTTTCCAAGACTACAAATACTTGGGTACACGTATTCGGATCGATGGAACAGTAGGAGAGTAAGTTGGTTATTGACTAACAAACTTCTCTTCAGATTGATCAAATTATGAACATTGTCCACAAAAGTTGATTTCGTCTAATTTGTTGTCTGCATTTGAAGGTACAAATGGATGACTTATGGAGAGGTGGGAACCGCTAGGTTAGCTGTTGGTTCTGGCCTTCGGTCTCATGGATTATCAAAAGTGAGTCATACTGCTGGACTTGGATTACTATTTTCAATACCTCGTGTATATTTAACTTCTTGTTTGTTGTTTGTTGTTTTGACATTTAGTATACTTAAGAATTCTGTAGATATCTCTCATTTTTGTTCATTAGGTTTTGCTAATTATCTCTGGTTGTAAATGGCAAGCACAAGTTTGCAGCAAATGTCATTTATGACCCTAAATACTATGGTGTCATCTGGTTTTGTTATGGAACAGGGAGCTCGCATTGGACTTTATTTTATTAATAAACCAGAGTGGCTGATTGTGGATCATGCGTGTTCAGCATATTCTTATATCTCAGTCCCTTTGTATGACACTCTTGGTGAGTAGTCTATTCAAATGCCATCTCACCTAATTCAGAGAGTCTGAAAGTTGAATTTGTGATGCTTTTTTGTCATCTTCAGGTCCAGATGCTGTTAAGTATATTGTGAATCATGCGGATATACAGGCTATTTTTTGTGTGCCGGAGACTTTGACTTCTGTGAGTTTATTCTTTTCTTTTCTTTTGCAAAGCTGCTCCTGCTCATCTTCACTATGGGGGTCATGCCTATCTAGTGAGGATAACCCCCCTATTAGTTTCCCGAAAACATTTTGTCTCTTAGATGGCATATGAACACATTTGACTGAGTTGTTGTAGCTTTTGCTGACCAAAAGACATAATTTCGAGATACACAAAAAAAATATAAAATAAAAAATCTGCAGACTTAACCAGGGTTACCGATGATTCTTACTATATCAGTTTGTATATAACAAACTAAATTAACTAAGGAATTCTTTAAAACTTGGTGTGAAATGGTATTGAATTCATTGGTGAAAGAGTGCAATTAATGTATATGAGATACCATAGTATTCTTTAGTTTAATTTTTGAAATTTTTTGAATTGGTGTTTCATTATCAATTTTATGGACGTAAACTTTTAAATGAAACTAATGGGGCTTGCCCATTGGTTAGAGCCCTTGTACCTCACTAGGAGGTCAAGTGTTCAACTCTCTCCATACAAACTTCTAACTGAAAGAATTCCTGTTCTCTCAGCTTTTGTAGAGAATTCATTAGTATCTACATTTGGGCCCTAATAAATTTGATGCTATAGTGATCACAATCAAGGAAGTTTTATCTGACCTTGCCTTCTATAGCTTTACTAGTCAAAACTGAAATGTTTTCCCCCTTTTTGTTCTCTCTCTCTCTCTCTCTATATATATATATATATATTTTTTCATATTTCATCATATCTGAGCTTTATATTTCTTTGTAGTTGTCATATCTATAATGAATTTATGTTGTGAAAATTGTAACATATTTTATGTTATCTGTTGAGATTTGCAGTTGTTGAGCTTCTTATCTGAGATGTCATCTGTACGTTTAATTGTGGTATGCTCTACCAACACCTCAAAATTTCTTTTAGCTATATGCATGTGCTTAAATAGTTTTTTTGTTTCTCTAAATTATTTTCCTCTGCCCCTCTGTGACAGGTTGTGGGAGGAATAGATGAACATTTGCCCTCACTTCCAACATCTGGTGTTAAGCTTACATCTTATTCAATGCTACTTAGTCAGGTAAATTATAATATTCTTCAAGTATGTTATTGGAGTGTATATATACAAGCTTGTATAACCTAAATCTGAAATTAGTTGGTTTGCTTGATTTAGTTTGACTAATATTACTTTGATTATGTGTTTACCATTGATAATTTTTTTGTTTAAGGAAAATTCCATGCACTGTTATCAATTCATTTAGTTATACAGAAGTGAAGGGTTTCAAAAAACTCTGCTCTATCCTCATATTTGGCATGGGGGAGAAAAAGTAGAGAAAGATGAAAGTGAAGACCTTTTTGTTCTTCTTAACTCATTCAGAGAGAAATGGAAGATGCACATTTAGAGGCCTAAGTTTTTTTTGTTTTGTTTTGTATTTTTTGTGTGTTGTATTTGATAAAGTTAAAACTTTGGTTCGTGGAAATCTAGTGTTGACTGAGGAGCACTGAAGACTCTAAATTTATGAAAGTATACTTTAGAATAACTTTGTCAACTAAATTTATGAAGTATATTGTACTAAGCTTGTTTGGTGATAAGGGTAAAGAAAGTAGCTAAAAATTCCAACCCTTTCTTAGTGAAGAATATTTTTTTACATAATGGCTAGCTGTGCCTTATTAATTGCACCTGGTGAGAAGTCACTAATTTTCAATGTTCAGCAGTCAGTAGGTTTACCGAGCCGCCCTTAATTTGAGTTTTTGTTCTAAATATATCAAAAGAAGTGAAAAAATTCATCCAACCATTTGAAGCTTATATTACAAAGGCAATGAAATAAAATTATTGTTGTTAATTTTTTCACTACCAACTAGTATATTCTAACATAAGAATCTAAGATCATATTATATATATATATATTTTTTAAAAATTCAGGAAATGTTCTTTTGGCAATTTTTTTATTATTTTCATTTAAAGAACAAGGTTGTTAGATCTTGAAGATTAATAAACATGGGGGGAAAGAAGCATAGCATTTCTATCACAATTCATTGTTACAAAAAATATATTAATCCTATAGAGTTTGCCACTATATATATATCTGCTCTCAATAACTTTAAGATTATATTTGGGGCTTGGATGTTCATGCCAACTTTGATATTCGGGAAAAGATTTCCAGTGGGATACCGGACCTGATCTGATGTTTCCGGTGAAGCCAGAGAGTGCGCCACGTCGGCGTATATTGTTTCTAGGGGTGGTTCCTTTGAGATTGAGGAGCCGGAAGTGGACCATAAAGGATGTTGACAGTTGGCGATAGTGGAATGGGGGCAAGGTCTGTGGAGAGAGGTGGTGTTGGTAAGCTATGAAGTGCGGGGGATTGTGTCGAAACTGAAGGAGGTATCGTGTCATCCACCACGACAATCCTTTTTGGGTTGGCTGGAGGGTTTGTGACGGAGTGTGGCCATTTGGAGTCATGGCGAGGAAGGCGGTGGATCATCGTTTCAGATAATGGTGACGTCAGGAGGCAAGAGGACTCAGATATTTCTACCCCAGTCAGAGTTCGGGGATGGATGGAAATGTGTGGCTTTTGTTCTCGAAGGCTTTACTAGCGAAGATGGATGGTTGGCTCAGATTGGTGGTGCCAAGGGGAAGCTGATGACAAAAAGGGCAACTGTGTCGACGGTGGCGAGTAAAGGCTTGGACGGTAGAGGCGGTATGGTAATCCACTGGGTTGCAGAGATGGGGTGGTCAAATTTGTTGGAAAGGGCATTGGTAGGGAGGGTGGGGGAGACTGGGGAAAAAAGGGTTGGTTTCTCGGCTATGATAGCGTGGGTTAGTCGGTGGTGGTAGGGGCAGGGGAAAGTCGAGATCCGACTAGTAGGAGTCCAAGACTTCCTTTTTGTACTACCGTCGAGGCACGAGGCAGAAAGTGTGCTGCGCAGGAAGTGGGTCATCGATGGACGAGACTTGTGCTTGATGTGCTAGTCGCCGTCAGTCTGTTGTGACAAAAGGAAGTCGTCTATGCCGGCGACAACACAGTGGCTGAGGGTTGTGGGGCTCCTTATTCATCTTCGCGGGGAGGAGATGTATAGAGCTATAGGTGATCGTTGTGGCGGCTTCGTAGAGGCCGATGAACTATCGGCTAACCTGGGGGAGGTCCGATTGCATGTCTATAGTAGGGGACAGCTTCCATCTCGTCTGTTGATTCGGTGAGAGTCATGGCGGTATTCAATTCCTGTGTGGCTTGAGGAATTACCAAAGATTGCAGCAGTATCGTCACCGGTGGGGGCGTGAGGGGGTGGGCAGCTAGAAATGGAAAGGTAGGATCGGTGGAGGGATTTTGTTGATTTGAGGAAGTTCGCAGATTTGGGGAGGATCGTAGATTTGGGAGGTGGGGCAAATCTGATTTCTTAAGGAAAGGGGTGGCTCCTAGTCCTAAGGGAGTGGGTCAGGGAGGATTTAAGTCTAAAGCAGTGGGCCGAATGGGGTATGTTAGGGCCTAACAAGGAAGGGGCCAAGTTGGGTCACAACAAATTAAACAAAAGTGGATGGGTAATAGAGTTTTGGCACAACAGATAGGTAAGGATGGGCCTAAGTTTCCGGACCAGTGTAATGCTAGCCTAAAAGGCCACTTGGGCCAAAGTCGAGGCAGGTAAATCTGTCTGTTGTTCGGGTGTTTGACTTGCTGTGGGACACAGTTGGGCCACAATGGCGGGACACGCAAGCTGGTGCTTCGACATCGCGAGAGGAGCAGTCGCGAGTGTTGTTGGAGGGTAGTCACCTATCGACGGTGGAGCCACACCAGGAATCGTCGGAGCTGGTGAGCATAATAGGGTCTGATTCGGAGAAACTAGTACCTTGTCCTATTGGGGAAGCAGATACAGGGTTGGGGATAGAGATGGGGAATGAGAGGCGATGGGCAAATATGGGTGATGAGCTAGCGTTGGTGCTACGGCCTCTCGCAATCACAAAGAGGACGACGGATAGACAAATATGGATTTAGAAGTGGCGAATGAATCTGGAGGTGAGAAATTACTGACTTTGGAGACTTTAGATGAGGTCTCGGATCAGGTGTTGGCTCGGATATTTGAGGTGAGCAAAATGTTGCTTGTTTCATTTGAGGGACACGAGGAGGAGGTGTTGAAACTATTTTCGTCAATTGAGGCATCATGGAGAGGGGTGTATCGGCTCGCCCGGAGGCACAAACTGTTGCTTCGAAGGCCAAGGGTGTTCGGGAGTTGCGTTGATTGGAGTGCTCAATAAATTATGACAGAAGCTTAGGGGGGGATGTTTGAAGGGTGCAGAGGGGTCATGAAGATCAACTATTGTTGTCATGCGTTTAAAAATCTTATCTTGGAATGTGCGGGGCTTAAATGATAGGGGGAAGAGGGTGGTGATCAAGTCTTTGTTGAAGACTGCTAAAGCGGATGTGGTGTGTTTGCAGGAGACAAAAATGGAGTGCATTGGCGGGGAGTTAGTTCGGGAGTTGTTGGGTTGGAGATATCTGGAGTGGGTAGTTTTACCAGCTGCGGGTTCAGCTAGTGGTGTCTTAATATGTTGGGATAGTAGGGTGGTGGTGAAAGAGGGAGAAGAAATGGGGGGCTATTCTTTGTCTTGTCTGTTCTGGTGTATCGAGGATGATTTCCAGTGGGTGTTTGTAGGGGTGTACGACCCAATGAGGGGGGTGGACCGGAATGCCTTTTGGGAGGAACTTCAGAGTATAGCTTTTCGGTGGGGGCGTGCCTTGGTGTGGGTGGGGATTTCAATGTGGTGCGGAGTTCGGAGGAGAAGGTCGGGGCAAGGTTTGTGATGGGGCCTATGAGGGCTTTTTTTTCTTTTATTGATGAGATAGAGTTGATTGATTTCCCCTTACAGGGAGGGGGTTTTACATGGTTAGGAGGTCAGGTAATGTCCTGAATCGATAGATTTTTGGTTACCAGGGATTGGGAGGAGCACTTTTCTCAGATGATCCAGATGAGGTTGCACCATCCGATCTCGGACCATTGGCCAGTGCTATTGGACAATGGGGGGGTCCGGCGTGGCCCAACTTCGTTTCGGTTCGAGAACATGTGGCTACAGACAGAGGACTTTGTTGACAAGGTTGTAGGCTGGTGGGCTAGTTATAATGTGGTGGGTTTGCCTAGTTGTCGGTTAGCTCTGAAGCTGAAACGTCTCAAGTCTGATTTGAAGGGGTGGAATGTGGAGGTGTTTGGTTGGTTGGAGGCTCAAAAGGCGGATACCTTGTCTGTGATACAAGAATTGGACGACAAGGAAGCTGAGGGAGATCTTTCTGAAGCAAACTTGGTTCGTCGGGATAGGGCTTGAAAGGAGTATGTGCATATTGCCCATATAGAGGAAATTAGTTTTCGTCAGAAGTCTAAATTTCTGTGGTTGAAGGATGGGGACCGTAATACAAAATTCTTTCATTGAATGGCTAATGCTCATAGGAGGTCGAATCAGATTGGGAAGATGTGTGTTAATGGGGTGATTCTGTCTTTAGAGGAGGAAGTTAGGAGTGGTATAGTAGGTTTCTATCAGCATTTATTCCGGGATGAGGGGAGATGTGGAGGCTGGGGCTAGATGGGGTTACTTTTGATACTATTTCAGAGGTGGACGATGAGATGATGGAGAGACCATTCACAGAGGAGGAGGTGTTGGGTGTTTTAAGGAGTATGCCTGGGGATAAGGCGCCAAGGCTTGATGGTTTTTTTGTTGCCCTTTTCCAGCAGTGTTGGAGGGTGGTGAAATTGGATGTCATGACCTTGTTTAAGCAGTTCTAACGGACGGGACAGTATGAGAAGAGCCTTAATGCAGCTTTTTGTAGCCTTGATTCCTAAGAAAGGGGGAGCAGAGGATATTCGGGATTTTCGGCCGATTAGTCTATTGGGCAGTGTTTATAAGCTTTTGGCTAAAGTGCTGGCCAATAGGCTTCGGGGTGTGCTGGAGGGGATGGTGTCAGAGTCTCAGAATGCTTTCGTGGGGAGGCGTCAGATTTTGGATGTTGTGCTTGTGGAAAATGAGTGTGTGGACTCACGTATTAGGCAGGGCAAGGAGGGGATTATCTGTAAATTGGATATTGAGAAGGCTTATGATAATGTGAACTGGAAGTTCTTGCTCTATTTGTTGGAGAGAATGGGTTTTGGGGCGAAATGGAGAAGCTGGATGACGTTTTGTATATCCACGGTGCGGATGTTGATATTGGTTAATGGGACGCCGACTGGTTTCTTTCTTACATGGAGGGGTTTGCTGTAGGGAGACCCTTTATTTCCTTTACTGTTTCTTTTGGTAATGAAGGCCTTGAGTCGTCTGCTGTCTAGAGCGTTCTAGGGGGTTTGATGTCAGGGTTCGAGGTGGGGATGAGTCTTGCTACTCTGGTGGTTTCTCATCTCTTCTATGCTAATGATGCGTTGATTTTCTGTGATGCGGATGAGGATCAGGTTGGTCACTTGTGGTGTGTGCTGTTGTGTTTTGAGGCGGTATCTGGGCTCCGAGTTAATTTGGAGAAGTCAGAATTGATTCCAGTAGGTGAAGTGGTTTCTCTTCTGGGGTTGGCAACCATTTTGGGCTATAGGGTGGCTACTTTACCGGTTTCTTATTTGGGGCTTCCCTTGGGGGCTACTTTTAAGGAGAAGGGGGTGTGAGATGGGGTGGTGGATCGGGTGCAGTGACGTTTGACGAGATGGAAGCGACAATATTTATCCAAAGGAGGGCGGATTACGTTGATTAAGATTGTTCTTTCTAGTATGCCGACGTATTTTATGTCGTTACATGTGATTCCGGTGACAGTTGCTAAACAGTTGGAAAAGATGCAATGGGATTTTTTGTGGGGTGATGGGAGGGAGGATTTTTATTATCATTTGGTGGCTTGGGATTCTGTTCGTAGACCCAAGGCGGGAGGGGGTTTGGGAGTTAGGTGGTTGGTTGTGTTTAATCGGGCTTTCTTAGAGAAGCGGTTGTGGCGTTTTGTGGAGGAGAGGGAGAGATTGTGGAGGAAGGTGGTGGTGGTAATAAAGTATGGGTTGGATAAAGGGGAGTGGTGCTCGAAAAAGGCTAGTCATTCTCATGGTCGGGCTTTGTGGAAGGGGATTTGGTTAGGGTGGGAGGAGTTTTGGGGTCTGGCCTGGTTACGGGTGGGGGTGAGGGATAGGGTTCACTTTTGGCTTGACAAGTGGTGTGGTGGGGTGTTTTTGGCTGACTTGTTTCTTTGATTTTTGCCATTGCTGCTGATAGGGAGGAGACGGTTGCTTCGGTTGGGGATAGACAGGGTCAGTCGGTGGTTTGGAATGTTCATCTTTGTTGTGATGCTGAGGAGTGGGAGTTGGATTAGTTGGTGGATCTGTTGGGGTTTTTGTATAGGGTGAAGTATGCAGGGGTTAGGGTGGATTCTTTGGTGTGGGATTGTTTGAGATCCAAAGGGGTTTTCTCAGTATCATCGTTTTATACTACGTAAGTGGGAGGTGTTGATGTTGTCTTTCCTTGGAGGTCTAGGGCATTGGATCACCTTCTAAGGTTGGTTTTTTTGTGTGGACAACAGCTTTGGGTTGCATTTTGACTATTGATAATCTCATTCGTCGGCGGCATATTTTGGTTAACTGGTGTTGTATGTGCTGTGGGGATGCAGAAACCGTAGATCACTTGCTACTTCATGTCCGGTTGCGTATCGGTTGTGGAGCTTCATTGTTGTTTTGTTTGGTATGGTGTGGGTGCAACCAGGGTTTGTGCTGGGTGTTCTTTAGAGTTAGGGAGGGGCTCGGGTTGGGAAGAGGCGTCGGAAGGCTTGGTCTCTTGCTGCCCATTGTTTGCTTTGGTTAGAGCATAATAGGCGTGTCTTCCAGGATGTGTGTCACTCATTTTCTTGGTTACAGAATAGACTTTTTTTGGTTTTGCATAGTTGGGTTACGAGCTCAGTTGATCCCAATGTGTAAGTTTTTGTAGATTTTGTGGAGGATTTACTTACTTAGTTTTGGAGGCCCTTGAGTGGGTTGGTGTATTGGTTGCATCGTTTTGATGCTTTTCTAATAAAGTTTATTTATTTATCAAAAAAACAAATAAATAAATAAACATGGGGGTTTTGCAAGATTTATGTGACAACAACTTTTTTTCCCAATCATGTGACTTGTTGCCTCTTGGTTGCTTCCTTTTCGATTTTTTTGTGGCCTATTCATATGAGTTACAAATCTTGGATGTGCACATAATGTACTTTGTTATTTTTGCAATGTTTATTCTTTAACATATATATACATATATAATTTTTTTGTTTGATTTCATTATTTTATTTTTCATTCAGAACTTGCATTAATGATCCATGACTTTAATCTGGAAGTTTAAAGTTTTGATTGGTTTTGTTTCAAGAAACAAATGTTTGATCTTTTACAACTAATTTTCTCCTAGGGCCGCAGTAATCTTCAACCTCTTTGCCCTCCCAAGCCTGAGGATGTTGCAACTATATGCTACACAAGTGGTACTACTGGGACACCGAAGGTAGCAGACTCATGCGTTTTGAATTTTATTTGTTAGATACTGTGGCAAAAGTATTCACGATAGGATGACTGCCACCTTGTTAATTAGATCATGTTCTTTCATTTTATTTTTGATTTTTTCTTGCCATATTATTTTTCTTCGGGAAGGGAGTTGTGTTGACTCATGGAAACTTTATCGCAAATGCTGCTGGCTCAAGTTACGCAATCAAATTTTATTCCTCAGACATGTGAGTTGTTATACTGCATTGTTTATTTCTGTCACTTTGAGATATGCTAAACTTTCCTTTTCTCCTGAGTTATTTAAGTGCATCGTATGTGGATTTTGACAGCTATATATCCTATCTTCCTCTGGCACACATCTTTGAACGAGCTAACCAAGTTTTGTCAGCGTATTATGGTGTTGCTGTTGGTTTCTACCAGGGGGTATGTGATACAATTGGATATCATATCTATTGATTCTTTTATGTGATCTTAGAAATCAAGGAAACAAAAACTTACTGGAAAATTTACTAATGAAATCCTTATGGGACATTTAGTATGTATGCTGCATGCCAAAAGTTAGTTACTTGGGTTCAACCAATTAACTGTATTTCCATTAGTGAATGGCTGTTATGGATTCTCTATTACATAAAGAGTCACTATTTTATTTGCATTTTTTTTGTGTGATGCTAAAATGGTTTAATATCATGAGTCCTACGTTAAACGTTGAGGAACTATGGAACATTGAAAATGTTCTCCCTATGAATTTCAGTTAAATTGTAGTCACTGTACTTAAACATGAAACCAAACCAAACCAAACCAAGCCTTAAGTCCCATCAAATGGGGTTGGCTATATGAATGCTTCTTCTCCACTTGACCCTATCAACAGCCATTTGGTTAGTCAAATGAAGGAGATTCATACCTCTATTTACTATACTCATCCACGTCAATCTAGGTCTGCCCCTTCTCCTAACACTTCCATCTACTGTCATTGTATGACATCTCTTCACTACTACCTCTGTTGGCCCCTGTTATAGATGACCAAACCATCTCAATCTATTTTCTCTCAATTTATCTTCTATCGGTGCTATTCCTACCAATTCACGAATATACTCATTCCTAATTCTATCTTTTATAGTCTTGCTATACATTCACCTTAGCATCCTCGTCTTAGCAATACTCATCTTATCTACATGGTGTTTCTTAGTTGCCCAACATTCCGCCTCATACAACATCCCTGGTTTATTAGACGCTCTATATAACTTTCCTTTTAGTCTAATGAGTACTCGTTTATCACACAGGTGTCTCTTTTTTTTTGTTTCTCTTATTCTCTCTCTTCCACTATCCTCACTCGTTTGAACCAGTTGATAAGCTCAAAATTGGCAGGTATTTTCCTGTTTGCAAGCAAGTGTTGGATTTGATGTGGCCAATATGATAAGTTTTGATGGATGTTTTATACATATCTGATTAGGAATTAATGTCTTCGTGTATGATTTCACATCAAAATTTTGATGTTACCAGTAATTGCTGTCATTGCTAGCAAATATGCTATCGTGTTCCATATGATGAAATGAAGAAGGATGAAAAAGAAAGACAAACACATGGAGACTTACAGGCGCACACATGTAAAGAGAGATGGGAGGCACTATGCTTATCTGATTAGGAATTAATGTCTTTGTGTATGATTTCACATCAAATTTTTCATGTTACCAGTAATTGCTGTCATTGTTGGCAAATATGCTATCGTGTTCCATATGATGAAATGAAGAAGGATGAAAAGAAAGCCAAACACATGGAGACTTACAGGCACACACATGTAAAGAGAGAGGGGAGGCACTATGCTTATTGATGAAAAATATCCCACATATCCTAGTATAAGATAACATCGAAACTCACTTCTGTTCATAATCTCGTTCATTTTTCCTTTTCAGTTTTGATTCACAGTTTTAATCCTTGGTGTCTGCATATTTTGTTATTTACTTCACAGGGTTAAACTTTTGTGGTCTTACTTTGTATGATATTTATGTATTTCATTGTAGTTTTACTTTGTATAATCTCTATGCATGAACAGTCTCTCTTATCTGCAGGACAATTTGAAACTGATGGATGATGTGGCTGCTCTACGACCAACAATATTTTGCAGCGTTCCTCGCTTGTACAACAGAATATATGCTGGGTGCGTTATTGTCAAGCGCTAGGTTAATTATTTATTCAATGTTACTCTTTATGCTCACTCAATTATGTATAATTTGCGTCTTCTAGGATTACAAATGCTGTAAAAACTTCTGGGGGTTTAAGGGAGAGGCTATTTAATGCTGCTTACAACTCCAAGAAGCAGGCCATAATGAGCGGTATGAGTCATATAAATATGATTATGCTGTTGTTTGAAGCTTCTTAATTCTTAATTTCCTTGTTTATCAAAACATAAGAGCACAGTAGGATAAACAACTCAAGGTTGATAAGATGGTATTTTCCATACTCTGATAGTCCCTCTAGTATTCACTGAATACTGGAACTTTGATGGGCCTAAAAGGGGCCATGGTCCCCCTGCCTACTTAAAAAATTCTGCTTTTATATTGCCTACTCAGTTTTATAACTTTTTCATTTGAGACCCCCCCTGCCAGTTGGGAATTGGAATAACTAGAAGGTGGTGTGTTTCTGGCCTTTTTTTTCTATAGGGAAAAATCCACTTTAACCTCCTGTGGTTTACCCTTGGAGCACTTTACCACCCTGTTGTTTAAAAATAGCCAAAGAGGCCCCATGTGGTTTTGGACTAAATTGCAACTCTAATCCACTTAACAGCAAGTGAAAAAGGACGTTTATACCCCTTTCGGTCTTCTCTTTCTATCTTTTCTTTGTTAACTCTCACCATTGCCACAACCCAGCACATGCAATCACCATTTGCAATTACAAACATATGCGGATGTATACTCTTGAATGTAACAACAATCAGAAACTTTGTTCCTACAACAATCACATTAGTTGCTGTTCGCAAAGTGAAGTATATACACACTACATGTCCACGGCCATGGTAGAGAGATAACTCTCAGAGAGAACTTTGGCCACGGAGTTGCAGCGGTGACATCGACAAATTCCCTGTGATAGCCGAATGTATCATTTCGAATTTCAGTTGAATATACATGTGTATATGTGTGTGTGTGTGTGTATTATGATGCCAAAATCTACATTATAAGAAAATGTAGATCTGTCATCATAAATGATATGAATTAAAAAAATGGGCATGAAAAAAATTAGGGTTTTCCTCCTATTTTGTTTAGATCTGGGCAATCACATTAATTTTTCTTCTGGTAGAATTGATAATGTTTGGAAACTTTATCATGATCAGATAAGCTTATGATTGCTGTGTATAATAATGTACTGGTGGTAGCTGTAATACAAGGATCCTTTATGTCCACTGCTTAAGACTTTTAGCTGAATCGTGCACGAGCTGGATTTTGACAGCCAAATAATCAGTTTCTTTGACATTAATACATTAAGCTTTTTGAATGCAGTCATATTCCATAAAATTTCCATTTGGCATTTTATGGTTTAATGCACAACACACAAATGTTACCCAAGTTATGCAGGATTTCCATTAATGCTTTTTCATAGTATATTCTCACATAATTGCTTATATTCTCTCATAATTGTATTAGGTCAGAAGTCATCACCGATGTGGGATAGGTTGGTATTCAACAAAATAAAGGCAAGACTTGGTGGACGAGTACGTTTTTTGGGTTCAGGTGCTTCACCTTTGTCTCCTGATGTCATGGAATTTTTAAGGATGTAAGTTTATATTTCTTCTAAAAACATTGTATGAGTACTTGTTGAGCATAACCCTTATTTTCTAATGTTGGTAATGATTAATTGTCTTTCTGTAACAAACACATCCACAACTTGCAGATGCTTTGGCTGTCCCGTCATTGAAGGATATGGTATGACTGAGACTTCTTGTGTCATAAGCATTATGGAGGATGGTGACAACTTGACTGGTCATGTTGGTGCTCCAAATCCTGCATGTGGTAAGCTGTTGACTGATGATCTGGATAAAGGAAAACTCATGGCACATTATAGATTCTTGTAGATGGCACTGTAAAGTAATTGGCATCACAAACTGACATACCAAATCCCAGGGGAAAAAGGACATGAACATACAATGATAATAAATAGATATGCATCTATAGGCATAGAATATTGACCCATTCATTTGGTATACTATTTTAATAATCAGGTGTGCAATCTATACTTTCTACTATTCCAAAAAAAATAAAAACAAAAAGTAGTCAGGTGTGCAATCTGTTGATTATCTATCAAGGAAGAAGGTGGGAGATCATACTCATTAATTTTGAGAAAATGTGACATTTAGAAAACCTTACTAGATAACATAAGAATTGAACCTGAAAAAATCGTTCATAATTGGACTGTTTTCTATCTTGCTTCACCCATACATTTTATGTGCAGGAACTGATGTTTGAACTAGAGGCTTGCTTCACCTATCTGCCCACTTAGTTTATACACTATGGATGTAAACGAGAATTTTCCAAAAGAAGAACCCTCTTCGGGGTTACATTTAGGGATCAGAACGAAAAGGTTATTCGCTCTTCTAAGCTTATGTCATAGCAGTGTAGTGAAAGCAGGGCCTAGTTTGCTAAGCTAAAGCTCTCTTGTGTGGGCTTATCTGGATGAATGTGATTATATAGTTGTTACTAGGTAGCTAGGGGTCTATATATGTACATATTTATGTTTTTGTTGCAGTTATTACCATTTTTGCAGATCAAAGTTCATATGGGTTCTCATTTTGGTGCTTCATGCCTTCACATTCATAGATCAGGATATGGAGAAGCAATATTTTGGTCAAGAGGAGGGCAATTATATTTGTAGGAAAATTCTTGAAGGGAGACAATAATCTTCATTGAGTTCCTTGTGAATTTTAAGGAAAGTTGAAAGTTGAAAGAATGCCCTTTGTTTTTGTTTGACATTTTCCTATGTAGGTTTGTTTTTTATTCAGGTTTCTCATCCCTCATTGTAACTCTCTTTTTGTTCTTTCTACAAGTCTGCTAGAGTGGTTGGTTTGGGTACTATGAGTTTGGAGATTTTTAATGGAGTTTTGTAAACCAGGTCGAATGACATGGGTGGAAGAAAATATAGCCTTGGAAAGCCTAGAAAAGCTATTTTCATAGAAGCATAAAAAATGCCTATATGAACTCAATTTATTATTTCAGGTAAGAATGTAGAACCAAAGGAAATGGGCATTGGGAGTGAAACTGCAGGTTTCTATTTTTGGACACAAAATGTTTCTTTTTCTTTTTCTTCACCTTTGACCCAAACCTCCAATCATTCTTTCTAATTGGGGATGCATGGGCACCTCATCTAGTCATTTTGTCACTACTCATTTCTGTTAAACTGAAGTGTTTGGGCTTTCCTTCTTCGCTTCTGCTCATGCTTGGCTAACCTATTGCATGGTATAAAGAAGAAAGTACGAAAGAATAGTAAACAAAGCACACTGCAGAAAGATTCTAAATATGAGAAGTCCCCCTTGGATTGGAGGAGGAAATGAATAGCACGAACAAATTGAAATGAGGCATTTCTAGCTAGTTTTGGATGAGCTTCTGTTGGGAAGTGGTTGTGGAGATATGCATCGAGAGGGGCATTTTGGAGGCATGTGGTATCGGCTAAATATGCCACGCCTTAGGGTGATTGGACTACATTAGAGGTGGGTTTGTCTCGCGGGAAAAATTTGTGGAAAGGGATCTAGAAAGTTTGGTAGGATTTTGCAAGTCATTTTAGTTGGAGAGGTGGTGGAGGAGATAGTGTAATGTTCTGGAAGCATAAATGGTGTGGGGAGTATAGCATTGAAAGCTCATAAGAAGGCTTACTATGGTGGATTATTTGCATAGATCAGATGCTCATACTGTGTGGACATCCCTTTGAGGAAGCATGTGTAGGATGAGATGCCAAAGCCAATGGGGATCAAGATGCTCTTTGATGGATGTCTTCACTGCGGGGTACTCTGTGTGGTAAAATCTTTATATGAAATTTTTTTAGGGGATGATGGGCATTCTTTCCCTTGGGAAGGGATATGGTTGATTGGAGACCATTCGAAGGTGGCATTTTTTTTTTTGGAATACAGCTCATGAGAAGATCCTCACCATCGAATGCTTTATTAGGAGGTGGCATATAATAGTAAATTGGTGGTATGTGTATGTGCATTGAGGAAAATAGCCCTCATCGTCTTTTACATTGTACGGTAGCCAACTAGTTATGGGACATGAGCCTTTTGATGTTTGGGTTGTCATGGACGTTTTGCGGGAGGGATTGTGCCATCTTACATCCTGATTGCTAAAAGTAAAGGAAAAAAATGATACATTGATATCATTTTTCTATGTTGACTTTTCTTTTGTTTGAGTTTTTTCAACCTCCATTTGTAATCTCTTTCTCTCCCTCCCTCTCTCTCTCTCTCTCTCTCTCCCCCCTTTTTTTGGTTCTTAAATAATATATTTTCAAATGAAAAATAATAATCTTCCTGATATTAAAAATACAATGAAAAGTTTTTGCTTTGCCTGGTATTGTCTAACTTTAGAAGAGCGTGGCTGAGCTGTGACTACAATATGAATACTGGTGTCTAGGAATTAATTTTGCTTCATGCCATAATATTGACCATGGAAGCGATTTGAAGAACAGTTGATGGATTTGGTTGAAAGGAAGAAAGAGCTGCATGATGTACGCATTGAAATGAAGGAATTGCATTGTGTGGTCACCAGAGAGTGGCTTTGTAGATGACTAAGAACTGGGCAAGCATTTTGTTGAGGACATCTACAGTGGGAAATGACTAGCATGAATGAAATTGAATTTCCAAATATCGTAGTTTTTTCTCTATAGTGGGTATTGTCATTCAGGCATTATCTAGGAGTATGTTCTTTGTTGATGGTAGAGTTCTGGTTAAACTCTGCTATAAGTGGGGTATAACTGAGTTTCATGGAGAAATGCTTCAAGATGAAAAAAATAGTTGGAATTAACGCAATTATGGACTGTAATTTCATGCAAAATATGAGACTGGAGAGAATGCTTTTTATTAGAAGTGAGACCTATGAAGCTGGAAATCCTTTTAGAATGCTGCATAAATCATAAACACCTACCATTGGGATAGAAAAATGTGAAATAATTATACTCAAGTGAATGCTAGAGAAACACATTCAATGGAAGCGGGGGTAGTATTCATGGATGTAAGTTTAGAAAAGTTACCCAAGAAAGTTGGGGTCATGTCCAGGAAGGGCAGTGATTACAGTTGTAAGGTGGATGATTCAGTACAGGTTGAATGCACGAGAAAGAAGAAAGATGGGCCACAATGGTCATGAATCAATGCTGAGAGAAAATGCATGATGATCAGCCTAGATTGGAGAGATTGTCAAAAACATTCTTGTGTTGCTAATCCTAATCCCAGACAGTAGCTCTATGGTGATTGTTGATTTGTTCACTATAATAAATTACACATGGGATTCAGTGTGAGTTTTAGTGCCTTCCTCTTTGCGTTGTCCATCCCTCATCCTCGAAGGATTCATGGTTTATGCGAGGTTTCCTTATTTTGTTTTCCTGGATGCATCTTTTCTGCATCATTTTTGGTGGTGTCATATACGAGTATGTTTAGCTGGCCTGATCCATGTGCTGATAAAGTAGGGTCATCCGTCATGTTTAGCTGACCTTTAACATTAAACTGAAAGCAGATGAACTTGAGTCTTGATTCAACAATGCTAGAGACCCCAAAATTTTTACCAAATTTTCTACCAAATGTTGGTAGCATATTTCATCTTTGATTTGGCTTATTATGTCTTGTCAAAAAATGTTGGTATAGATTTGGATTTGCTCTTTGAACTTACTCCATATGCAGAAGTTGGTTTGTAGTTAATGGTATACTTTACTCCATATTAGAGAAATCACATTTTTTATAAATGTGATTAACTAGTATTTACTATTGGCAATATGTTCTCCTAGGGATAAAGCAGGTACAGTATCATCTATGAGCAGGTAGCAAAAGATTTTTCAAACCATGTCCTATATTATATAGCAAGAATAAAATGGGCACTTACAATGTAATGCTAGCAGGTGTATATCCTCGTGGAGGCATTTGGCCACGATTTGGAAATGAGATGTAGTAGTTACTATCTTGATAAGTGATGTTATCCATAAAAGGCTCAATGCAAAGTAAATTTGGAGAGGAGATAAATTTTGGCAATTGGAATGATTCCCAGGAGGGTCCTATTTTTAGTCATGGTGGATTTCTATTTTGTGATTAATTAGGCTATGTAGTAGTTTCAACAAAACTTGGTTTTGGAGGGTAAATTTGTTCCCCCCAAAACTTGCTTTGAGAAATAAGGTGTACTGTTGCTTGGTTCTCTCATAACAGCTTCATAGGAAGAGGATGCTTAGTCCCTAGTTTTTCATACATATGCTTCAATAAGATCAACTAACGCCATAGCCCTATATGCTGACTCATCACTCGATTTGAGCGATCACTGTTTGTTTTACTTTTCCATGACACCAAGTTACCTCCAACCTAAAAAGCACAGACACTTTTAAGAAGGTAATGTGTCGTGGCAGACACTAACACCACATGAAACTCACCAAACACTTCCTAACACTTAGACACATAAAACACACTACAAGTTTAAATAAAATAGCTTGAAATCCAATGATAAAACTAAAAGAATGTAAATTTTTTAACCTATCTTATTTAGAATTTAAAAATTATTATCTTGGACTTAAATATTCATGTATATTGCATATACTAAACATATTAAATTGTATACCGTTAAAATGTAAAATGAAGGAATTTAGGGTTGGGATTTAGAAGGAAGAAGAAGAAGAATAATAGAGAAATTTTATATATGTTGAATAATCATTATGCCTCAACTTTACATCAGTAAAATATATATACAAACCCTAACATAGCAATATGACCATCGTACCTCAACTTACGTAAATATTAACAAGAGAACAAAAATAAGTATTCTAACATTCCCCCTCA